GATGACCACGATATTCGCGATCCATGGTATCATCCCGCGTCTGTCCACCAGATTCCACCGAATCAAACAGTGCTTGCCAGGAACTAGTCGGGCCACTGGGTCCTCCGCCTTTCTGTCAGCGCTTCCGAGCTATAGAGTGTGATGGCGACAAACTGTCACGCACCGCTGAAAGCCCAACGCCAGGCAACGCCAGGGGACAGACTACCGTCTCTGACCGCCTCGTTCAACAGCCGCCTGGCGCCTTTCGCGCTGCAAAGACGCAAAATTTGAGTCGCTGAAGTCCGGCAGAACCACGGATGCTAGCCTTTCGCTTCGGCAAGGTACAAAGGTACAACACTTTTTGTGGATCTGGTCGAGTCCCCTTGCATCGGCGCTCGCCCACGCTGCTAGCTTGCAGCGACTATCCGCGTCAACCAATTACTTGGGCATGGCACTGTCAGCTTCGCCAGGCGGCCGACGCCATGCTCGTCTGCTTATGGCTGTCTTCTCCCAGGCGCGCAACTTGCCTTGAGGGACTGGCCAAACGCGCCGGCGCGTCCATGGCATAGCCAGCCATCATGGTCCCGATCTATCTGATAACACGTGAAACGGCAGCGGGCGTTGGTAGGTGTTTCGTCATCAATATCCAGCGTGCTCAGGTCCCGGCCATAACGCACGACCTAGAGCAAATAGTCAGGTTCTTGACCCATCGCTGCAAGCATGTGCCATGACCGTTGTTAGCAACCGGAAACAGGCAGTGCTGCCCAGTGCCCCGCCGCACAATATGATGCCATGTCCTGCAGCCAGGCCGATTGCTTGACGGCAGATGCGCTCATCAGGGCTTGCAGACGTACTGTGGTCTGACAGGCGGACGAGCATACTCTGGGGCTCAGCTGCACCTCTTCATCATGTCTGGGTCGGCGGGCCAAGCATCGCTAATTCCAAGGATCTGCAGGCAAGATGTGCCTTCTCGCAAGGTGGATCGGACTCTAACCCCAGCCTTCTGCCAGGCCGTCCGTCCAGGGCGCACGACAAAGCCGCTAAGATCCCGTCCTGTGCCTTACCAACCCCTCCTCGTGCATTTGCGACGCAATCGTGAGTTCGTTCTAATCCCGCTCTCCTGCATCGACACCTGCTCCTCTGCCTTCATACCCGGGTCTTGCACAGTCTAGCTGCATTGCCACAAGAGCCGCATCCTGCCGCTCCTACTCGAGCCCTTGTGCGCATCGAGTCTTGCGTCAAAGAGGGGCCAATCTCCCCGCCACCTGAGGCATCCCATCCCGCGCCTTATCATACACCCAGCCCAAAGTCCGAGTATCCGTGGTTGCTCAACCCTCACCACTGGTACACCTTTGGGCGACACCAACTTGACGATTTTACGACGCAACGATCGAATTTAACACGACCTCGTAGATTTTGTTTGACCTTGCTCGCTGGGCGCTGACTCCGGATGTTGTTGCAACGCCGCCCTCTATTCGTCATCATATCGTTTCAGCCTTCCCACATCCGCTCCAGGAAGGGACCACCCGCAGTATCATACTGATTGCGCCGCTCGAGGCAACCCGCCTGGGACCTGCGCCTGCATTAACTCTCCAGTCTTACATCACCGGCGCTACCAAAGCGAGCTCCGTCGTGCAGGTTGTAAGCTATACGCGCTCGTCTTCGTAGACCTGCGCGGCTCACTCAGCACGACACGGAACAAGAGGTGGCTATCGTTAGACTGCTGGTCACCGCCTCTTCCAACATGTCTACTTTCCAGGCAGTCAACACCACATTGTCGGTCCCAGATGCGCCACAGGGCCGCCCGGGTGACGAGACGACGCCGACTACTCCCCGACCGAACAGCAGGTTCTTTGCCGAATCGAAAGCGACCGAAGAGATCCGTGCCGAAGACCCATCGGCTAAGACACCTACACGCAATACCTTTGCGGGTCTTGTTGGTCAGCGACCACTGCCCTCGTCGCCGTTTACACCCGGCCGCGAGCTGAGCGAGACACCTTCAGCTTCGAACAAGAGCGAACAAAGTAGAGAGGACTCGCATAGGCCAACAACCTCGGGACAAGATGTGCATATGGGTGATGGGGATGATGACGAGAAAGACGGATCGGACAACGATAGCGTAACCAGCGATTCCAACCGGCCGTCTAAAAAGAAGAAAGGACAACGCTTCTTTTGTACCGACTTTCCGCCGTGCAATCTAAGCTTCACGAGAAGTGAGCATCTGGCACGACACATTCGGTACGTAGCTCACTATGCGGCACGCTACATTGCTAACACACTGCAGTAAGCATACTGGTGAAAGACCCTTCCAATGTCACTGTTCCCGGCGATTCTCGCGACTCGACAACCTCCGACAACATGCCCAAACAGTTCACGTCAACGAAGACATACCTTCCGAATCGCTAGCTGCAACGGGTACGAGGTTCCAAAGACAGATCCGGACCGACAGAGTAAGACCACCTGGAAACCGATCTCGAGCGAACACACTAGGCAGCACAGGTGGCCATAGCAGAGGCCACAGCAGAAACCTCTCAGCTTCAAGCATAATCTCTACCGCTTCGACCATGAGCGCGGCACCTTCTCCCGACATACGACGTAGGCCACCACCTTTGGCCATGGCTAGTGATGGTGGTGCTAGCGCGAGGGCTCGCCTGTCACTAAATACCATGAACGCGTATGACCCACCGATGATGGGCTCTCCTGGGCCTGTCGAGTATGACACGCAGTCCAACGCGCCTACAACGCCCACATCCGCTACCTTCTCGACAGTTACTGGCAGCCCCGCTCGCTACGGGTCCACTATACAGTCTCCGGTTTCGTCTTCGTCCAGGCCAGTCTCATGGGCCGGACCACCCCTTCCAGGACGTCGAGAGTCCATCTCGTCCAGTGGTAATCCTTTCTCTGGTCCACCAGGACAGGGTCCTTCTACGTACATCACGCCTCTGCAGTCGACTGCCGCACCCAGCTATTCAGCCCAAAGCAGCGCATATGCGAGCCCAACAGCATCTCAATTCTCAGAGTCGAGGAGAGATTCAAACGCAGATGCGGACTGGAGGCGACGTACGTGGCATCCAGGAACTTGGGGGCATACTGGGCCTCGCCCAGCGACCAGTGGGCTTGGTTATCACCAGACGCCAGACGCGGATCGGCCCACGTTTACTTCAATTCCGGCCGCTTCTCAAACTACCCGTCTTCCGGGAATTGAAAGCTTCGACCATGCACCCCCTCCGCTTCCTCGACGCCAGCCAAGTCCTATGCAAGTAGACGCCCCAGCTCGTCCACTGACATATCACGCGCCGATGGAGCACCCGCCTCCGCCTCACAGGGGTCACCACAAAAGAACTAGTATTTCTTGGGAAATTGACCGTCTGAACATTGCTGGCCCAAGTTCTCAGAGAGAACCACAATGGTCGCAACCATACCCTGGCAGTGCCGGACGAGCTAATGCTACACGCCCTACGACCGCTCATGGGTACTTTAGTCGGCAACCTTCTAACGTTCAGCCAATCCAGATCCCTTCCATCAACGCTTCGCCCAGGACTTCGCAAGAACAGCCTACGACGCCCCGAAAGAACAAGCGACAGGCGTGGTATAACGGACCTGTCAGTCAACCACAAAGAGCTATGCAGAGAACATCCCCTGAAGATAGTAGCAGTAGCGAAGGCGTTCCCACTCCAGGGACAATTTGGGAACATCATCCGAACATCGTGGGCAGCAATGGATACGTCGAAACGCCAGTCGTTGAAGATCACAAGTCGCAAGCATCAATAATGGAAAGGCCGCATCCTTTACAATCGCAACCACACCATTATCATAGCCACAGCCTCTCCAACTCGAGCTCAAGCTATCGACCGCAACGAGAACCCGAGCGGGGACCCGCAACATTCGGTCAGCCGCTACCGCAGCAGACAGCCAACAATGACATGAGACGCTTGGAAGCGCTTGTTGCTGTCGCCACTGGCGAGCAAGCCGTGGAGAACCGCTCTTAGGTTAGGTCAGCTGATTGCTTCCTCACCGCCTTTACATCACACATCGCCATCATCAATTTACGTCGAGTTTTTCAAAGCACACCCACGATGTCACGACCTCGAAGAACAATAACGAATCTCCTATGATTTACGCAATGATACACATGTCTGGTGTTTTACCTCCAGTTCCGCATGACAATCTCTCGGTCTTTTGCTTTGTTTCCCTTGCCCTTCACTTCAGAAATCGCCAACCAGGTGAGGGCTCTTGTTGTCGCTTTCCATATGATACCAATCGGAGCTTCTGCTCGAACTTCCTTGGGATACCCCGATCCGGCATATGTCATTTTCCCTTTGTTTTGCTTGCCTTTGTGCATATGACGTTTTTGCTTTCGTTTTAGGGATATACCAAATCGAACAGCGGGAGTTTAGAGTTTTTTGTCAGGATCAGTTTCTATTTTTACATGATGACTCTCTATTAGGATGTGCTGTTGTGCTGCTTTTGGTGGGACGGGTCACTGATGATGAACATTGGTAATGGGTAGAAGCTGGAAGGGTCAATAGTTGTCCTTGGACATTCTTAACTTGCTTGTATATGCCTTCTCAGATGATTATGACCTCGTGTACTTTCGTGTAACCTGCTGCGACAGATGCCTACAGACAGGTGATTATGTTATTATGGCAAGTCGCGAAGAGAACTTTGTTGCTGGATTCAACAACTAGGTCGGGGAGTACTACGTGGTTCGAGCGACGCTCGTACGCCTCCCTGCCAAGGACAGATATTTACAGAGAAGTTTGGCAACCCGAATATCACCCCAAATTATGTTTGGCCTGTCTTCAGCAAGATAGACAGGCATAAGCTGGTCGCCCACCAGTGTCACATAGGCCGGAGGCACCAGATGCTGTTTCGCTGGATTACCGTTACCGCGACGTGGATGCACAAACTCCATCAGAAAGACCTGCTACTCGAATTCCCGTTCTATCCTAACGAGAATTGGAAGTGGGGCCGAGTCGATCTCTCATCAAGGAAGAAGATTCCGTTCACCCTATACAAACATGTCAGCATCCGCCTTGTCAACGCTCACGACGAGGTTGCCCTCGTCCGTGTCATGGATCTTCTCGATAAGGACGATTAGCCGGAATTGGGCGACATGAGCGATCTGAACCCCGACAAAGTCAGTCTCACCAGGTCCGCGGCGATCCTTGGGCGGAAGAAGAAGTCATTCGAATACCCCGCCAACAGCCTCGTTACTTTCAAGCACACCTTGACTGGGAATCAACAGATTGCGGTCACAAAGAGCAAGCAGCTCGCATACGCATTGAAACTACTGCGTACACGGGGAAAGAGTGAGATTGAGATGAGGGTAGACACATTTGCAGAGGAAGAGGAAGAGGAAGAGGGAGAGGAAGATTTGGTTGGATAGATTGGAAAGGTTGGATGATGATGGCAGAGAAGTTGAAGGGTAGTAGAAAGGAGGTTGAAGGATAATAGTATATTCCAAGGTTGGCAAGCGTCTCTAGTGGACAAGGAATGGACAAGTGGTGTACTTGGATAGATAGGTTTAGGTGTGGAACAGTACAGCCTTCTAATGCCTAGGCGGTTAAGCGCTCTAGTGTTGCAGCTACTATAGATGCTGCGAGGGAAGTGGTTGAAATTGGCGGGACTGAAGCTGCGGCAGAGATTACAACTGGCGGCGTATGTGAGTCTGATGAACCTGCTGTACAGAATTGGCGGATGCCTGGTTGATTGATCGGTCGTTTTGTGGTGGTATTGTTCAGAGTTTTAGAATTGAGTGCGAGAACGAAGCTGAGAGAGAGACAGAGTGAACGAAGGCTGAGATATATATATGTATAACGAAGACTGAGGGGAGGGAGTGTGTGTGCGTGAGAAAAAAGGTTGAGAAAGGTTGTGAAGCTGGTGCGATGAGGTTTATTAGGGACTTGTATCCGCATGCCAGAATGAGGCAGGAGCGACCCTGGTGCTGCTCTCGAACATTCCAAGAGAATGTAATTGTAGATCTAGCTGGTTCTGCAATCGTTGGCGATAATAAGCGCAGCAACATTGTTAGGAAAAGAAGCCAACGTAGTTGCTTGTCTTGAGGGAGTAGTCTTGTAGAGAAACTCGCGGTCTCAAGGAAGGACTGGCGTTAGATAGGAGGTTCTAGGAGGCGATGATAAGATACGCCTGTGAGTGCTTAGTAACTCAGTTGTGGTTAAACCGTCTCATACAGTACGTTGTGTCCAACGTGGTAGCGGCGCATTGTTGTCGGGGCAACGGTACGATCGAGACAGGAGAGGACAAAGCGCGTTCTAGCGTATCATGCCACATGCAAACCCCGCGTACCCTGAGTTGGTATACACATCCGCTTGCAGCAACAACGACAGCAGGCACTGTACCTGTGTTTCTGATACCCTCTTTTTTCTTCTTCTTTCTTTGTGATACCCCCCACCTGGCGCCATGGCTTCCGATGACGTTACCGACTTCGAGGTGATAGAAGGCCAGAAGGAAAACATCCAGTCCATTCCCAGCGGACGCTCCGCAAAAGCGCTCGCGCAGCTATACACACCACCACTTACTTCCGGCGCTGGTCAGACGCTGTCCCCTTCGCAGATGCAGGACGCGAACAGCGCGGCCCGCCTCAAGTTTGAGAAGGAGCTCATGGCGATTGACGACTCGGACGACCCGTTAGACGTTTACGACCGTTATGTCAAATGGACACTCGACTCCTACCCCTCGGCACAAAATACACCTCAATCGCAACTCTGCCCGCTGCTCGAGCGCGCGACCAAAGCCTTCCAATCCTCGCCGCAGTACAAGAACGACGCCCGCTACCTCAAGCTGTGGCTGCACTACATCCATCTCTTCTCAGATGCGCCGCGCGAGACATTCGCATACCTTGCGCGACACAACATCGGCGAGAACCTTGCGCTATTCTACGAAGAATTTGCCGCCTGGTTAGAAGGCGCGGGTCGCTTCACTCAAGCAGAGGAGATATACAACCTAGGCATTGACCGCGAGGCCCGTCCAGTCGAGCGCCTGATTCGCAAGTACGGAGAATTCCAGCATCGCCTCGAGAGCCGCCCGCAAGAGGTTCCCGAGCCCTCAAGCCCCGCACTCCCCGCCGTCCGTCCAGCTCTCGCCGCTAAGATGGACCCCTTTGCGCATGCATCGCCGAGTGCGCCGAGTCCACAACCACAAAGTGCGCCAAAACCTGCTGGAGGCGCTTCTCGTTCGGGGAAGGCTAAGCTTGCCATCTTTTCCGATGGCGACGATGCCGCGAGGCCCGGCTCGACCGGTAGCATGGAAGGATGGGATAGCATTGGATCGCTCGCAGACCGCAAGAAGGAGAACGCAACGGAAGCGCGCCCTTGGGCTGGTGAGACTCTGAAGGTCGGAAAGAAGAACACGGGCGTGCCAAAGATGTCAATCTTCAAGGATGAGGTGAGTTGATCTGCCTACATCAGCCCCTTCATATATTTACGATCACAGGACTAATTGGTGGGCGTTTGCCATACATGTATTCAGACCAAATCAAATCCCAATGACGAGAATGTCAGCCCCCATCCATTGCGTGAACATCAGCAAGCAGTAAATCCAAGAACAGGCAGACTTGAGGTAGTTTTTGTAGATTTGGAGCAGGTTTACCCTAACCATGAAGATCCGATGTCAGAGGAATACTCATTTGAGGAACTTCGAGCTAAATACAGGGGATGGATGGACCACGATTGGGATGCTATCCGCCGCAAGGAACAGAAGCAGGCAAGGAAAGCGGCCGAGGAGGCAGAAGCTGCCGCAAGACCAAAGCCAAAGGCCGCGCCTCTGGCGCCCAAACAGGATTACGAACAGCCTCCTAAGCCCAAGACCGTGCCCCTGAAAGGTAGCGTTGACGATGATATGAACAACGACGAAAATGCGCCGCCTTCACAGGCAGATGTAGACAAGGCACGGGCTGCTAAGAAAGCGAGACGAGAGGAGCGTGCCAACAGGACTAGGAAAATCAAGGTCATGGAGGTGAAGGAAGTTCGCGGCGAGACTCAGACAAGTGAGTATTTGATTGGCAATGACATTTGCACTTACATACTAACATGTCTTAGTCCAAGCCAACCTAGATTCTCCAGCGAAGCCCAAAATCCGGCGAAAGAAGACAGGCCCGGAGACCACAATGACCCTCCACACCAAGGAAGCAATGGACGAGATCTACGACATATTCAACGAGCCACTGAAAAACGCCGACGAGAACACTTCAGAGAATCAGAGTGGTGATGAAAGCAGCGGTGACGATGAGGACGACTACACGAGTGGTGCCGAAAGTACGGCAACCGGTCGCATATCGGGCGCTACGAGCGAGTTTGGGGATGAGACAACAGCTGGAGATTTCACACTCGGCACCAGGGTGCTGGATGTTGATGCCGAAGATGAAAGCGATTCCGACGCTTCAGATACCAAGAGTGCCTCTGCGTGGTCTGACTTTACTGAGAGCAAGCACGTGCCTAAAGATGGTCAAGAGGATGAATCAGATGATGAGTCTGAGCAATCTGATCAGTCTCAGAACGATTCTTTTAACGAGGCAACACGCGCAGATGTCGACGTGGAACAGCAGCAAGATTCTGACGTCGTCACTCCAACCTCGCCCTCAGCGCCCACATCGCTACCTACCCGCTTTGTTCCAGTTCCACCGGAAGACTACGTTCCAGCTATGCAGCCCTACCGAGACCCAGCCCAGGCTGCTAACAACCGCCTGCCGTTCATGACGCCCATCGTCGAGAAGACGGAATCGTCCTTGGGCATCGCCACTGCTTATGCAAACAAGGACTACTTCACTCCCGCGACCAAGACGCCATCACGATCGAAAGGTACCACTGACATCCTTGAAGATGACGACGACGATGATGATACTTGCGGTAGCGCCTTTTCGGATATCTTGAGTCAGGTTATCGATGGCTCAGGGAAAGTTGCGAAGCTCGCCCTGACAGAATCGAAACCAGTGCCTAAAGAGCCCATCGCCGAACCGCAACGGAAGCCATTGGCTGCGAAAGAGGTTGTGCCAAAACCAGTAAAGCCGAATGGTCCAATTATTCAGGATGCACAGTGCAATCCGGTCGACGAGAACATCCGCAAGGTCATCCTACAAGAAATCCAGCCACCGCTCGATAGCTACGATGGCTACTACGCAGACACCGAAGAGAGCTACGGAAAAGGAGCCGACATCCGCAAGTATACCAAGGCTCTGAAATCGGGCAAGGGCGCGAACGACAAGACGGCCAACCTTGCAGTCTGTCCTACTTTGAAGTTTCCCACAACTCAGCGGACATACGCTGTCAAACGCGAGCTTGGAAAGGGTGCTTTTGCTCCAGTGTACCTGGTTGAAAGTCGAGACCCCGAAGATGATGATGATGAGAACAAACCTTCGCAGATGGGCAAGGGCGAATTCGGCCTGAAGCGCAAGAATCTGGAGGCTATCAAGATGGAAGATCCACCAACACCGTGGGAATTCTACATCATGCGACAAGCCAAGCGACGGCTGGGTGTATCTCGAGCGGCTGATTCGATTGTTCACGCGTACGAGATGCATGTCTTCAAAGATGAATGCTATCTCGTCGAAGAATTTAGAGATCAAGGAACGCTGCTCGACCTTGTAAACCTTTCTCGCGGAGATAACGGCGTCATGGACGAACAGTTGGCCATGTTCTTTACTGTCGAGTTGTTCCGCACAGTCGAGGCGCTTCACTCAAAGGGTGTAGTCCACGGCGACCTCAAAAGCGACAACATCCTCGTCCGCTTTGATGGGTTGCAAAAAGATGAGCATTGGGATTCAGAGTACAAGCGCGATGGGCGTGACGGCTGGTCTGCCAAGGGTATCTCACTCATCGATTTCGGCCGTGGTATCGATATGAAGGCTTTCAAGCCAGATGTGCAGTTCATCGCAGACTGGCCCACTACCGAAGCCGACTGCGCCGAGATGCGGGAACTCCGCCCGTGGACATACCAGATCGACTACCACGGTCTCGCTGGAATCGTCCACAACCTCTTATTTGGCAAGTATATCTCTACGATTGCTGAGCGTGGCGCTACTCTTGGTGCCGGAGCGACGAAGACGTACAAGATCAAGGAAAGCTTGAAACGATATTGGCAGACTGATATCTGGCACTCATGCCTTGATTTACTGTTGAACCCACTCATGCACCTTGAAGGTGAAGAGGGGAACAAATTGCCGGTACTGAAGGGTATGAAGGAGGTGAGGGAGAAGATGGAAGAGTATCTTGAGAACAGCTGTGAGAAGGGCGTTGGATTGAAGACTCTTATCAGGCGCATGGAGGATGCAGTGAAGAAGAGGTGATGGGGCTTGTTCTTGTGCTCATTCGTATGACGTTTGGAGTTTTGGGGGGTTGTTATTGTAGGGTTGGATAGATGATACCACTGGGAATGACGAATGGATTCGAAATGCCTGCTTGTACACTCATACTTTGCCGAGAGTGTCTACACAAGCCCTTCGCTGGATCGTAACTCGCACTAACAGATACCCATAGAGGTTATCGACCTAATCGGAGAAATTGAAATATGAGTAGTCCGGCTTGAAGGCATGCTGCTTGATGGCTCTTGCATCTTCATACTGCTCCCATGGTCGCCTCCAGTCACACGGTTCGTCGTTCTTTCCTCCCAATAGGCGCACTCACTTTGACACGTCATTTGACAGTATCGTTCCTTCCGCCACGCAATGAGCTAGACGCATACGATAAGAAGCCAGCCATGCCACCCAAAACCTTGACTCCTCATCCACCAACAATTTAGACAAGACACTCCTAGCTTCCAGCAGCATACTTTGAGCCTTCCTACCACCTCTCACCTCCGCCTACTAACTCCGATTACCTGCTCGCCGCATCGTCAGCCTAGTATGTTTTCGGTTCACCACAAGGCCTCCTCCTTGCTCCACACGATGCTCGTCACCGGCATCATCCTGATCCCGACCGCCATTGCCACACCCGCCGCGGTGCAGGACCTTACCGATATGCGCAGTGTCGTCGATGCAGCAGCAAGTGCTATCGGAAATCCGAATAACCCCAATCGAGGCTTTGGCTTTAACCTCTTCGGTGGCAGCGGTCAGATGGGTACTGCCGACCTCGTCAACAACATCACCAACACTATCCTCCGAGCAAAGTACCAACTAGACACGAACAGGGTAGGTGTCTTGACCGCTACCTCGAGCATTCTGATAACCAGCACTAACAAGCACCAACAACAGACATCATGGCTCCTGCCCAGCAACTCCACCCTCAACGGCACCTTACCCACCTCCAGTGTGCCCACACTCGCAACCCCCACGCTCCCCCTAACAGCGAGCCTCGCCCTGCCAACCAGCATCCCCACCACAACACCTACCCTCGATAACCTCACCATCGACCTCACATCCCCCTACATGGCCTACGTCCAATCCATGCCCGACCTAGCCAACAGTTTGACAACCCTCGGCCGCGCCTACCACCGCGAGATGAACAGTCCTGTAAACGAAGCCATCGCCGGTCTCGAACAAAGTCTCACAACCTTCCAGACCGCACTGCTCGAAAGCGAGCTCATCAGCGCCCAGGCTGTCATACGCACCATACGGGCGAGCAGTAGCTTGGAGAGTGCGGCGACGGCGTGGAGTCGCTTTCTCAACTTACCGGGTGGGGGTAGTGACGATGATGACGCAGGCTCTGCAGCTTCGTCATCCCCTTCATTACAAGGAGTGGGAAGGTCGAGTGTCTTGGGCAGAGCCGAGGCAAAGAGGCCTCCGCCTGGGAATGGCAGGTTCTATAGCCACTTTGAGTTGTGGAATCGGTCGGAGCCTAGAGCGAGAGTGTCGACGGAGGGCAAGTTCTCGCCGCACGATCTCGTTGTGCAGGCTGAGGAGAAGCGTGTGAGTACTACCGCTGCAGAGAAGGCGAGAGTGGGAAGGCCTTTTGTTGTTTGAGTTGGCTGTTCTGTTTCTTGTACTTTCTTCTCTTTCTCAATGCGTCGTAATAATGAGCGCTCTTTCTTCCAAAGCTCCATCATACGTGTTAGATTCGTCCAACGTTCTCTTCTCTCTCCATTCTCACCACATAAAGCACATACCCAGATTGCAGCATCTCGAAAAAAAGTATGCTTCGATAATAATAAAGCTAAGCTAAGAGTTGTGGCGGGGGATATCTTCGAAAGCCAGTATGCAACGCAGAGACGAGACCAAAGCAAACAGCGAACAACAACAAGATTGGAAACCAAAAAAGAGAGCCAAGCTAAAGCGCCATTCCAGCGCTCAACAAAGATCCATAACCTCATGACTTGACTGTGCCTTGTGACTAGAGGAAAAGCCGCTGAAAACACCAGTCTCCTTCCTTCATCCCATCGCTCGTTTCTTGCTTCCTTTCTTTCCAAAAAGGACACTCATGCCTCTTCCCTCTTCGCTTTCTTGAGTCATGATGATATGTATGGATTCATACCCGACCAGACCTGACCTATTTCCACAGGTCGCCTGGTACACAACGCTTGTAGAAACAAAGAACATCTCCGTCTCATTACAAATCCCTTTGCATTGAAGTGAAAAGAAGCATATTCACATACAGGTAGGCAGGCTTGCGCTCTCTGTTTTAGACCAAAACCCATTCACTGCCTCTCTTGATGAATTTATCCAACATCATGGTGACGTCGGTGAGGACGAAGCGGCAGATGTAGAAGCCGAAGAACTCTGCGGCGTGGCGGGTTGATAGCTCGAGACCGACGTGGGTGGGGGAGGAATGCTTGAGACCTGGGTCTTCGACTTGGCGGGCGATTTGGTCTATAGCGTTGTTAGTTAATCCAGGTTTATCATGAGAGATGATGTAGAAAAAGACATACCCAATATTTGGACCGCATCGAATAACCTAGCCAAAGAACCCATGTACCCTGCATTGGGCCCCTCAAACACAACACCGGAAATGTCTCGCTTTGCGAAGCGGATGCTGGGGAGGTTGGTCATGGGAAGGGTGGACATGATCAGAGTGTCCTTGGGCACTTCTGCACTCTTGGCACCACCAGCCATGCCCGCGAGGTTGACGCCCGAGTTCTTCGATCGGAGTTTCCGCCAGGAAGCAAGGTATGATTTGCCCTGGGCAACAGCACCCTTGTGTTGGTGGTCCACGGAGCCATGCCTGCCGGAGGCGTCTGTTGACGATGCACCTTCGCCGACAGTGGTCGCATCTCTGAACAGTGCGGTTACGGATTGTACACCGACTTCGTTGCCTAGTTTCTTTGCTAGCTGGGCTTGCACCTGGTCGAGCACTAGTTCCAAAGACTGCATCTCTTCTAGGACAGCATCCGCGTCATTTGTATCCACAGACGCTAGCTTTTGAAGCGCTGCTGTGAGCATGTCGCAGTTGGCGATCTTGTCCTCGATGTTCTTTAACTTGACGCCCTTTACTCGCCAGACATCGCGGGGAATAAAGAGTTTAGTGGAGAGATAGCCACCGCGGGGATGAGCGATAGTCTGGTAGAAGCATCGCATTAACCAGAACGGTCTCAGGAGGTACGAATCCGGACATGGCTCCAGAGGGATCGGGGCGTTCGTGATGGCTGGGCTTGGCGAACCGGGCGAGAACGGTGAGTGGATATCACTCTCGAACAAGTGCATCCCTCCACTCGGTAGACCGTCGACGTTGAATGTGGGGACGCTGGGCGTTGGCATTGCCAGGCTGACATTGCTGGGTTTCCTGCCCGTAATGGAAAAGGTCGTGCTCAGTGGCGTTCCTATAGATGCATCTGAGCCATCTGGGCTGGATATTGACAAGTTGCGCTGTTTCAGGCTGAGGGAGGACTTGTTCTTCCTGATTCCCATCGCTGAGGTTTTCCCGGTCTTTGGCGAACCTGGCACAAGACCAGCCTCGTTGGAAACAGCATGGCCGAGGGCGGGCGTCGCGGGTGAAACCGTGGCAGCAGTTTCGGCGGGACTGTAGAGGGTGGGCTGAGGTGATGGAGCTCGGAGACCAGATTGTTGGGACGCTTGCGGCAGCGCGGGAAGCTTGAACGCGGAGTCTAGGGTAGGCTTGGTGGTGCTGAATGTTGGTGCCGCCGACTTGGGTTGGACGGGGAGGTCGGTAGGCGCATCCTTAGCTGGCACCGGAGGCTTCTCCGTGTGAGGTGCAGGCGGGACAGGCGGTACAGAAGTCTCTATTTTCAAAGACTTTGCATTTTGTCCCGATAACCTTCGACTTCGTACTGAGGCTGCGTCCTTGGTTGCAGTAGTGGGCCGTGGTGTGGTTTCTGCGGTGTCGATCGTTTGCGGTGCTTGTGACTCGGGAACCGTAGGCAAGGCAGGCAGAGCGCCAGATGGAGCAGGCACCGCGGGCGGGGAATGAGCGGGTGGTTGCTTGGATGTCGGGTGCATCAACTCTGCAACGGTCGAGAGTGACGTACCACCCGTCGTTCTGTGTGACGACACGGAGCTGTTGTACGCGCTTCCAGAAAAGCCACTCGAGTCTGACTGCCGCGGTAACGACGACTTTGTCTGCAGATCGAAATCAAACCCATCCAGCATGTACTCTCGCGTCATCTCGTCTAGTAACCGCTCTTCCTCTTCCGCCTCGTCGTTGAACCTGATCTCGGCGCTTTCGCGCACATGCGGAAGGCCCTCGCCCCGAAGCTGCGTCTCTTTGTAACGATAGTTGGCTGCTGCAATGGCCTCTTCGCGTTCCGCCTCCCGCACGCGCTCCTTGGCCAGTTCCACGTTACGCAACTTAGTCGCTATTAAATCGCCGGGTGTAGAAATGTCGTCATCATAAGGTTCATATCCATCGTCGTACGCAGCTTCGACGGCTGCATCAAGCGCCGCATCGAATTCTGCCTCGGTTCCTCCACTGTTATTTCGTATGTGTTTTCGGCGCACTCCCCCAGGAGACATGGAATGGACCGAGGAAGAGCACGATGATCCACCAGACTCATCAATAGTGTCAAGCCATGATGTTGACTCGTTGCTATGAACTCGCTGGTGATTTGATTTGACGGGCTGCTGTGGTCGCAATAACCGGCCATACTCCTCGGGCTCGGACTCCTTACCGCTGAGGAGAGGAGATTTGGACCGCTTTGGGGAGAGCGGTGGGGGCATATATACGCGGTCCATCATCGATTCGGCAACCGATGATCGGACAGATGTGGTAGAAGGTGCGATTCGCCCAGGTGGGGGCTGTAGGTTGAATTGCGGGTTCTGCATGCCTCTTTGCACATCGCGGATGGCGGTGGAAATGACCGACTCACGAGGACCGTCGGAGCCCTTGCGAAGAGGCAGCTGCTGGTTGGGCGGCGGTGTAGGCTCGCCGGCTGGAGGGGTATCATATATAGAACGGTCGTTAACTATGCGAGATACTGTGGCGGTTTCAATCACTGCAGGTGGTTCGTCGTCGTCAAGGAGCAGCATTGAGCGGTGTTCGTCCAGCGATTCCCCGCTCATGGGGCGTGCTGGTAGTGATTTGCCGCTGTGGTTAGTGTAGCCGGGATCTAGCCGTCGCAGCTCTTCTATGCGGTTGGTGTATGTTACTCGCTGCTGGAGTTAGTGGTGCATGCTTACAGATAATGTATGCAGTGACTTACAATGGCGTCCAGCTTCCGCCTGTCCTCTTCCTGCGAGCTGCGGATCATGACCTGCTGGAGGAGCTTGCAGGCATCCTCGTACGCCTCCATGGCGCCCTCGAAGTTTTGCGCATTGTCGAGCAGGACAGCGGTATTCGCCTTTTGCAGGGCACGCGACAGCATCGTCTTCTTGTCCTTCTCTCTGCGCTCGCGTGTGCGGGGAGGCGTGCCCTGGTAGCTGTCGTCTAGCCTAGCGCTGGCGTTGCTCTCGTTGCGATGGTGATCCCTGCTGGGGCTGCGGACATGGGCTCTGCTCCCGGACCTGAACTGTTCTCTGCTCTGGCTCCTGGAGTGGTCCCGCGAGGCGGCTGGTCTGTGGCCCGCACTCGGTGGGGGCTTTTGGACGGGGTCCCTGGGTGCTGCAACGGAGGGTCTGCGTGCTGTAGAGGGCCGAGCTGCGCCCGAAGTGGAGTCGTGCCTTGGGTCAGCCTCCTGAAGGACCGCAGGCGACCCGAGGGGCGACTTGCCCAGCACCTTTTCGGCCTTGGTGGTGCGAGACGGGGGCCTCTGGGAGGGCGGCGGCTGGGTGGGTTTCGAGTTGAAGTAGTCGCGCTGCTGGAGGCCGGAGAGCAGGTTCGGGGTAAAGAGGCTAGATGCCGAGGGCGAGTTGTTGGTGGTCGAGGTGCTCGTGGGGGTGTTGGGGTCGTAGACGGTCGAGGGCAGCAGGATCGGGGGCAGCTGGGGCACCTTTGGGGCGGCTGTCACCGAGGATGGGGGGTCGTATGCGGGCGAGCGTGGGCGGTGTCGGCGGGGGCTCGCGGTGGGCGAGCGAGGGGCAGAATTGGCGATGCGAGCGGGGGATTCGGGGCCATTGGCGGCAGCGGCAGGCGCGGCGGTGTTGGGCGTGGTGATGCTCAGCTTGCGCGAGAAACTCGGGTGGTGCTGGTGGTGCGGGTGGTCGCTCCTGCCGGCCTGGGTGCCCGGAGCCTGGGACCAGCGGTTGAGGTTCGCAGAGGCGGTGGCGGCGGCGGCAATGGCCTCTGCAGCGCCGTTGGCAGCGCTCGAGCGGCGTCGTGAGGTCGTGGCCGGGGGCGGCGTGGCCTGGATATTCATGTTGTCGGCGTCGACGTCCACGGGTGTCGAGGCAGGAAAGCGTGTCTCAGGCCAAGCCAGCGGTTAATGCACGGCGCATGCAGGCATGGTTGCCACAAGCAGGAACGCGCTCAGGCGGGCGGCGGAGGTGCTTGGAGGCGGTGCGGCGGGCGGCGTGCTCGCGAGCGGTGGTGCAATGTGCTGTGTATCTCGAATATGTCGTACGCAGCGACGAGCAGCCGCCTGTGGAGAGCACAGTGCCGCCAAGTCGCAACCCGCAAAGCCACCCAGGGGTCTTCCAAA